GAAACTGTCGTATTTTGCAGTCCCTCTTTAAACAATCAACCGGCGGTTGTCTGCGACAAGGGAAACAATTCAAAACGTAAGCCCTTACCAGCTAAAGAATGCATGCCTCCCAAAGCTAATGAAAACATTGAGCCATCGAACCACCGATTGACCAGGTTCAGCAAAGTTATTCCCCCTACCCATAAAGAATCCCAACCTATTCCAACTAGGATTACGTACCGCGTCCCACCAAACGCTAAAATGAAAACCATCCGAGGAAATAGTAAATACCGGAAGAACCAACAGGTACATAATGGCAACTATACCGATAAATATAATAGAAGACCCGCTTCTACGCAGACTGCGAGAAACCAAGCAAAAGAGAAACATATTTATCCGCGCCCTTTTCAACAAGCCCCCCGGTTTCATTATCCATGGACAAAACTTGGGAATTTTATGAAGGAGTGGCAAGCATATCTAAATTTTGTTCGCATGACAGTGACAAATCCACCCAAGTTACCCCGCCATCCTTCATTTCCTTTACAACGAATAGAAACATTGGTTTAGCGCAAATTTGTGCAAAAACCAATAACCATGAAAATGATTATACAATACAACAACCGATACCAACCATTGTGCAACCGAGAAAAAAGAAATATCCTGTTTCTTCGGTAAACAGGAACTGCAGTAATCTGATTCGAATTCCTAGACTTAAATCAGTTAAGACTAAACAAGTGTTACCTAATATCTTGTCTCTTAATGCGAGATCTATTTTAACAAAAACTGACGAACTGGCTCTTGTTATTCACAATCAAAAATCAGACATAGTAATGGTGTCCGAAACTTGGCTTTCCGATGTTATCCCAGACGAAGCACTACATTTTCCGGGCATACCAGGCTTCAGTGTAATAAGGAATGACAGGGTTAATATGACAGGTGGTGGTGTGGCTGTCTTCGTTAAGGATACGATCCCGTTTAAAATCCGCCATGATTTTACTTGTCCGGACTATAAATGTTTATGGATCATACTACGTCCAAAATGGCTCCCCAGATGAATCTCAAAAATTGCCTTGGCATGCGTTTATTTACCCCCATCGCTAAATTCTGGAGCTATTGAGGAATTTTACGACTATTTCTGCAGCTGCTACGATGCGCTTACAAGTGAAAGTCCGAATCTATCAATTGTTGTTGCTGGGGATTTCAATTCTGTGAGCAACGGTTTCAGGAGAAGATAATTACGAACAACTGCCGATTAAAGCAGGTGGTGAAGAAACCAACAAGGGGAACAGCAATTCTTGATCTTATATTTAGCAACGCTCACACTTTATATGAGGAACCGGAGGTGCTTGCCCCGCTTGGTAGTTCTGACCACTGCATGATCGTTTGGAGACCAAGAGTTCGAACAGTGAATAAGAACATAACAAGGAAAATCATTACTCGACCGATAAAGAACTCCAGTCTTCAGTTATTTGAAGATCTTATCAGCCAGCAAAACTGGCCAATGGTATATAACTCTCCTTGCATAAATGGCAAAGTAGATGCCTTTCTGTCTGTTACATCAGAGATGATTGATACTGTTTTCCCGTTGAAAACATTTAAAGTGCATGAGGACGATAAACTGTTTATATCTGGAAAAATTAAACAAATGATTTCCAAAAGAGACAAATTGTATCAGCGGGGAAGAACTGACGATTTTAAATCATTGCGTAATAAAATCGTTTTGGAAATTCGAAAGGAAAAACACAAACTATACCACGAAAAGATTAAACCTGCCCGTGTCCAAGATCCCAAAACATGGTGGAAAAACATTAAAAAAATAGTTGGAAAGAAACAACAAGGCTTTACTCTCATTAATCCTGCAACTGAGGCTCCATTAAACCCGAAAGAGACCGCTTGTCACATGAACGATTTTTTTACTAACCTCACTAGCGACTTTTCAGAAGTAAGAAGTGAATGGCTTCATGTTGGACCCTATGAACCCTTACCATATATTACGTTTGACAGCGTTGTGAACAAGCTAAGCAGCCTTCAAGTAAACAAAGCAGTGGGTCCCTTTGACCCTAACACAAAGATAATCAAGCTATTTGCAAAATACTTTGCAGGGCCTCTAACACACATATTTAATGAGTCCTTTTCTTGTCGGCTCTTCCCGGATATATGGAAAGTATCCAAGGTGTGTGGAATACCAAAGATCAAGCCTTGCTGTTCAGTAGATCTTCTGAGACCAATTGCACTAACAAGTACCTTGTCCAAAGTCCAAGAGTCATACGCCACCAAATGGATTTATGAAGATGTTCGGGAAAAAATTAGTGAATTCCAGTTTGGCGGCCTTCCTGGTACATCTGCAGTTCAAGCCTTGATCTACTTACTGCATAAATGGCACTCGGCAATGCACACTCCAGGAAAGGTCATTAGAATTGTTTTTCTTGATTTTCGGAAGGCGTTTGATCTTGTAGATCACAACAAGCTTCTTGAGACCTTCACTGGAATCGGTGTACGGCCCGCATTAGTGGGTTGGTTTGCGTCCTATCTACATGGCAGATCGCAATTTACATCATTTCAAGGTGAGCAATCAGACCTGCGAAAGATCAGGGGTGGAGTCCCACAGGGTAGCAAGCTGGGTCCAATAGCATTTATCCTAAAAATTAACCATCTCCCACAAGTCGCTATACCTAATGAGCAGGAACAGATATGTGAAGCATCTGATGATCAAGATATAGCTATGTTCGTTGATGATAGTACATTGTCCGAAGTCATTACCATAACTCAACATTCATCTGGTAGCCCAATTGGTAACACCCAACGAAGTGTAAATAACGTAGTGCAATTTGCAAAGGATGAGAGTATGGAACTGAATGGAAAAAAATGTAAAGAAATGCTAATTGATTTTCGGAAGAAGAAAACAGAAATACCACTGATTAATATTGGCGACGATAAAATATCCCGTGTAAAGTCGTATAAATTGTTAGGAATATGGATAGACGATGACATGAGATGGAAAACCAACACTGAGTATATTGTAAAAAAAGGCGCTAAGCGACTTTACCTCTTGAAGATTTTAAAGAGTTATGGTGCACCAAAAAATGACCTATTAGCTTTCTATTGTACAGTAATTCGTTCTGTTCTGGAGTATGGTGCACAAATCTGGAGTGGTGGTCTGACACAAATGCATAAGAAAAACATAGAAAGAATCCAAAAACGAGCCCTCCGAATAATTTATCCTGGCCTTTGTGATTATGGACTTCTATTATCTCAGAGCAATCTGCTGACCTTAGAAGAACGCAGAAACAATTTATGTGCCTCCTTAATTGAGAACATGTTACAACCATCACACAGACTTCACGGACTATTGCCAAAGAAACTGAGTGACATCAGGGAAAGAGAGACTAGGACAAATGGTGAAAAGATTTATAACTTTTTTTGCAACACTGAACGTTTTAGAAACAGCCCTGTAGTTCATGCTATTAATGAATATAATTTTAAATTAGAAAAGTAAGATTTATATACATTTTATACAATTCCATATATATATATATATATAAACGATTTTAATATACATATAGGTCCATTGATGTAAATAGTTTTAAATAAGTAATAATTCTAATTAATTCTAATTAATATCTGACGATGTAAACACTTTGTAATTTAGCTTTTTGCTATTGAACGTGTATTAATAAACCCACTATTATTATTATATAATGCTACGCGCGATATCTAAAAAATATACGGAACACAAGCAACCAAACGAGATGCTACAGCGAAGATTGGATGGCCTTGAAGATATTAAATTATGGTGAGTGTAAACATAGATTTATTTTAACATTTTAACGTAAAATAGGCCTAAGTATCTCTGGCTAATATATTTTGCGGGATACGACATCAGTCACATCAAAGAGTTAAAACCACACTTCCCTCACCTTCGCAAGAAAATACAAGACACGAGATCAAAGAAAATATAAACAGACTGGTTCAGAGCAAATTACGTATATATTCTTGTTTGAGGCTACAGTGTTTATCTGTGATCACGTTTATTTAATACGAACGATTGAACGATTGTATTTTCTCCAGTCGCAAGTTTTCTTAGAGCCCAATCAGCCCATTTTTCCAAACAAATAGGTCTGAATCCCGAGTGTAGAGTGATACAGCACGGCGGCTGTGGCACATGTTCTTAAACCAAGTTGTTCTTCAGAACTTCCCTACAAGATTCCATCGCCTGACAGCACCAAGCTTCGTGTGTATATTGTATATGTAAATTATGTAATATGTATTATCACACAATCGCCGCATTTACACCTGTAAATATGATACAGGTGAGGAAAGTGTGGTTTGATATGACTGATGCCGTATCAAAAATATATCAGCCAGAGCCCAGAGATACTTATTTTACGTTAAAATGTTAAATAAATCTATGTTTATGCTCACCATGATTTAATATCTTCAAGGCTGTCTAATCTTCGTTCTAGCATCTCGTTTTGTTCCTTGTGTTCCGCATAGTTTTAGATATCGCGCGTAGCATTCTTGGCTCGCTAGCGGCTCATCGGCATTAAGGCAATATGCATCATAATCGCTTAAAATTTCGCTATCAACTGCTTCTAGAGTTCCAATTTCGTGACTATTATCATTTGATTCATCCTGTATAATATACCCAGGAATATAATTGTATTCTGAGTCACATTGAGAACCATGAGTGCTGGAAAACATGTCTTCCCAATAGCTTTTTAGTACTCCTTCACATGTGAATTCGAACTTCCGTCCCTTAAGCTACGTCACACGGCTCTCGCCCCAGACCCTTTTCCGGTTTTTTCTCGGGCGCGACAATTTTTCGCTAAAAGCCAATTTTTCAAGGTTTAGAGCCTCATATCTCGCGAATGAAAAGAGAAAACCGAAAAATGTTAAAGAACCTATTAACTAACTTTTTGTCCTCTGCCAAATATCAAAAAACATTTTTTGTGACATAAGCACTTTAAGGACTTAGGACTAAGGTACCTCACTAATCCTAGACCTCTCTTTAAAGTACGCACCTTGTCAGCCTTAACTTGCGCCAACAAAGCTTCGACTTCTTTGTCACGTTCGTTTAACTTGAACAATAGATTCTAAGCAAGAAAGCGAGATGGCATGTATAGATTGAAGTTGACAAGTATCTGTTTCTACGATTTTCTCCTCAAAACCAGCCACCCTCTCACTGCAAAAATTATATATAATTGACCTCTAGCAATGTACTGATTTGAACAAGTTCAGCAAAAGCGAGAAGTGTACCTTGTTTTCTTCATTTGTTTGTGCCAGTCGTTGTAATAAGACATCTTGTTGTCCTATTAGTCTTTTTCCATTACTCTACGAGAAGAATGATGATTTATTTAATCAGTTGATTAGTCAGTCTCACTGGAAAAAAATTTGAAAATCCATAGAAGGTCATAGAATGGAAATTGTACGGACCTTTATTGGAAATAGAATGGAATTTGGATATCCATAAAAATGGTATATTTCCATAGTATGGAAATAGTATGGATATACTATGGATTTAGTGGTGCAATTGCAAATTTCGTAGTATGGATTTCACTTTTTTTTTCAAGTGTCTGTGCCAGTGTAGCTAGCAATGATAACAAGAGAACTGCGAATTGAAAGAGATACAACTATTGTACCTTATAGGTTGTCAAGCAGACGTTCTGCTTGTATTTTTCAGGTAGTTGTACCTCTCTAAATCCTAAGAACAACTTGTCACCAATGTTAATTGTTAAAGCTTGTTACAGCTGGCCAATGCTGCAACAACATTGAACTTGACATCTTGGCAGCGCAACCATGCCTGCGCCTGTCACTACAAACCGGGAACAGATCGGTGCGCAGTGAACTCCATATACTGTATATCTGGAGTAAGAACCAGGTCAGGCCTTAAAATATCGGTCGGTCACGGACATTGTCCGACCCATTCGTGAAATTGCCGGACATTCTGTCCGACTTAAGTGAAACTGAGGTTTATTGTTTGTCCGACCCAAGTGTATTTGTGTCCGACCGAACTGTAGCTTTGTCCATCGTAAATCAAAATGTACCCTAGCCCAGGACTAAAGGCTTGCATGTTAAATGGAAAATCAGAGTACTATTGTCTAAAAGGTGAACTGTAAATGTTGTTTAACGTAGTCGAGCGCGGGGCGGCGAGCGAAATGGTGAAGTGGAAAACGAGCTTAAGTTGTCAAGTCTTTTACTGCTGTTCTGGAAAGCAAGTTAATTTTGGCTTGGAATTATATCAGTATGAAAGAAACAAATTATTTAATATCTTCACAACATTTACCGTTCAGAATTATCTTCATCAACATTTACCGTTCAGTGCTGATATTCATTTGTGTCATTCAGAATTATTTCCAATCAAAACTGAACTGAAGGTCATCGGACATATGTCCGACCCAAACTCAACGTCATCGGACATTTTGTCAGACGGCCCTGTAAAATATATTTTAAGGCCTGCCAGGTAAGAACTCGCGTCCAACAAGTCAAGCAATGCAAAGATGGCGGAAATTGACGTCCAGTGCTGGTTTCTTTTCTATTGTTTTTGTCTGCGCGGTTACACAAGGCTGCAAGGAGTGTGCTGAAAATTCGTATTTTGACTGCGATTTAAAGACAAATATTATGATTTTGTGAACTGATAACTTGATTAGCGATATGGTCCGTTAGGAAAATGGTACTAATAATGTTCACGACCTTCATAGATTTTGGATGTCACTTTTTGGATTCACTTTTCTCATAGACCAAATGACTTAAGCTCTTTCTTCAGATACACATAGAGAGAGTTGACTGGTGGTACTTTTCTACGCATGTACACAAGAAGCTTATTACTCTTAAATAACCACATCCACAACCCACTAAAATTAAAATATTTTAAAATATATTATCCTTTAAAAACTTCACCACATTATACAATTACACACCTCGTATTGACTCTGTTCTTTTAGAAGCTTTCTTAAAGCTTTGTTTGTGGCTTCAAAATCTGCAAGCTTTCTTAGAAGACTTTCCTTTTGTCTGATCAAATTCACAACATCACCAGATGACATGCGACGATCCTATACGAGTTTATAACAACAATTACTACCCTTGCAACTGACGTCACAAAACACAAAATGTCACGCGATTGTCGAGGTCCAGCCATTTTGGGTGACAAATATTTAAACTTAAAAACAAACAGGGTGTCAACAACCATCAAAGTCAAGCAGTATGCACTTGTTCCTGTGTTTGAGAATGTATATATATACAGGCCTTTCTTTACCGAATTTAAACTGGTGTAAGACTAGTACTCTATTTCGCCATTAATTTTACCACCCAAAATAGCGGTTGATTTGTCAATATGAGGTCATTTTCTCGCGCGACATGTTCACGCAGTACACATGTTCACATGATGTAATGGGGAAATCAACAATTAAGAGGAAATACATACAGGATCAAAATGTACATATAATACCAGGTATCTGGCTTAAACTAAACTTGCGGCTGTACAAGGCTTATTCTAATCATGACAATTATATAATTATATAAGGTTATAAACCTACTTCGTTTAACTTATTAACAGTTTCCTTCAGTTTTAATACCATATGACTGGTAGATTTTGCATCCATCTCAGCTTCCACAAGTTTCCTCACCAATGCATCGCGTTCTTCAGCGACAATTTCCACCTCCGATCTATAAACAAGGGTACTGGTACTGGTATCTCTCTCAATCCACAACTGTTTGAGTCTATGATCCTTTTAATCAGTGGCGGCCAATTTGTAGTAGGATTTTAGGGAAGCACAACCTGCGAACAGGCAGAGACGGAGCAGATGGACTCAATGGCCGCTAGTTAAAGGATAATTTCGTGGAAGAAAAACTATATTATTTCGTTTATTGTTCATGTACTGTTTATACTGTTGTTAATATTAATAAAGTGTATGTTTATACGCTCTGACTACAACAAATTCACGAAATATTAGGGAGGGGTGGGGGGTGGAGGGGCGAAATTTTCAATATGTATGGCAAAAGGGTTGCGGTGTCCGTTTAAGGCTCTAAGTTATGCGAATCTTTCAGAATATGCATGGGTCACTTGATGAAATGAATAAAGAGTCCCGAGTTGTGGCATTTGACTGACATTAGACACCTTTTCTAAGATAATCAATTAATCATGTCTATTAGCGTTGTTGTTTAATGTACAGTTAGAACTATCAATTCTGATTGTTTAAAATATTTTATCAGTAGAACTGTAAGGAATCCTACACAGAACAAAACAGATTGTATAAAATGAGTTTGCTGTGATATCATTGGCATGCATTGTACATAATCTATAATGCTTGCTATATTTCCGACTTTAGCTTAAGTTTATGAAATGAATCTTGTACCTTGATCTATTTGCGTGACCTCGGAGTCTTTCTAGTGAGGACTTCAACTCTTTATTTTCATCCAACGTGCTTCGTAATTCCTCCCGATATTCCTACAGTGCATTTTATATCATTATTAAACTAAACGAATCAGGGTGTCCACCCTTTAGTGACTTTCAAGGACTTCTAGATCTACTGATTTTCAAAGACTTTCCGGTCCTGGAATTTTTTTCCAATTCAAGGACTTTCCAGGATTTTCAAGGCCTGTGGACACGCTGTCCAGCATATGAAAAGGGAGTCTTGGCATTTGAAATGGGAGTTCTGGCATTTGAAATGGGAGTTCTAGCATTTGAAATGGGAGTTCTGTCATTTGAAAAGGGAGTTCTGGCATTTGAAATGGGAGTTCTGGCATTTATAAACAAACTGTTGGGAAGTTTGGTTTCTATTTTTGATAAACCCAGGGTTAAGGTAATCGGCTTCGAACAAGCGGTCCACACCATGGTCTCTGAAACGCCATCTTAAAACGAATCTGGTTCTACCCATGAAAATAGCAGAGGTCACAGCTAGGAACATAGAATTTATAGGTTTATAAATGTGAGTAGGACCTAGAGAACAAAAAAAATCTAGACTGGAGGCATTTTCATGAAATACATGTTCGGTTCTTTGAGGCATTGCAGCAGATCGACTAGAACAGGAATTTACATGTCCTAAACCAATCACAGCTATCATGAAGCATGGAACCAACCTCGTTCCCAGGGTATTTGCTCTTGGGAAGCAAAGACCCTGGTGGACGCTGGTCACGTGATCTGCTAAAATCTAGCAGATTTTTAATTAGCGTTGTTTTGTCAATCTGGGAGGGGTGGGAATGTAGTAGTTGACATTCGCCAGATGCATTAGTGCTGTATACTTCACTTTACATGTATTAATAAACATGATTTATACTGTTCTAAATTCGTACTCATCATGACAAGATTTCCTGCTATATTGAATGTCATCAATAATAAGTGCTGCGGTACATTTCAAGCGAGAAGCTGGATCATATTTCACTTGCAAGGAAAAATATACTCCACACGCGCCTGGCTAGTGAGCACGCATCAGATCGCCGTATAAACATACATATCTGATATCTTCTACACCGACTGATCGATCAAACGGTATTTATATAAAACGAACGATATGATATGGTTGTTTATAGTTGAAATGTATCCTGTCCGATATTCAAAACAAAGGATTTATTTTATAACGGGATCCTTTGATTTCCCAACTGAAGTACTGAACATCGCCAACTGTGTATATAAAAACAATAGTGCTGTTTTGACTGTGAATTACAGTAAGCACAGGATTAAAACCCGTTATTCCTTTTATTTACATTGCTGAAACAGCTCAACGATCAAGAATGATATATGTCGAAGTACAGCTACAGTATACTGTTATCACACGCCAAGACTCCTCGGTGCGTGCGGTACAACTTGAATATCTAGGACGATATATGCACTAGACTAAATTATATCATATATTGCAGTAAACATTATAAATCTTATAAAGACCTTTCATTGGCATTGGTATTAATGCCCAGGCATTATTTGAAGAATAATCCAACTTAAAATCCAGCTTCTTTCGACTTGTATAATGCCGCTGTGAGTCATCAATATTTAAATCAACTTTAAGTCTTTAATCTTTATCGTATATACCCCTATACTGTGTCGTAACTGTAATTGAAATTTTAGAAGTTTCACCAAACGATACTTCGTAACTGTAAGCAAACAACCTATCTATCTATCAGTATCAATAGAAACTTTAAAAGGCTTAATAAAACTCATTAAGTAATTCTATGAGCGAGACTTGGTGCGCATATACAGTTTATGAATTATGTATATATAAATATATATCCCTGATAAAACGTATAGGGACACTTCGTACCAGATATAATAACAAATACTTTGCTAAATCTTTTCGGATATCATTCCTTTGCATTCAGGGTGGGAGGGTGAATGGCGATAGCTATAATTTATTATAGGAGATTCTGTGCAATATTTTGGCTCAACAAACAGGTAGTCGTGAAGACAAAAAAGTGCACTGTCGAGTGTCGATTCCAAACAATTTTGTCAGTCGCTTTTGATACCTCTATTTTACAAAATTTATACCGTTTCCTTTCTATATGACAACAATTCAATGGCATATTATAAGAATATTGTAAATATCTGAACCAGAGGCAGAGCCAGGACAGAAACGTACGTATGAAATGAAAATATTGCGCCCGAACCCCGAGAGAATATTAAAAACGCAAATATTTCAAACCATACGGTCATACGTTTTCGTTGCTTGATTTGCTGACTTGTCTGTTAGTACAAGAATCTGCATTTTACCATGTTTGTATAATTTAAAACGGCAAACAGAAACCAATTTAGCAAGAATTTTGAAGAATATATGATTCTCAAAGATTATTGTACAGCACGGCCACTCCTTGCAATCGAAGTGTGAAGTGCGGAAGTGGAAACATGTAATATGAGACCTTTCCATCCCCCTCTGAGGCTATCAATTTTCTATGGGTCACGTGACCAGCGTCCACCAGGGTCTTTGCTTCCCAAGAGCAAATACCCTGGGAACGAGGTTGGCATGGAACCATACAAAGCATTGACATGAAGACAACACAAATTACCTGTAAATTAGCTAAGTGTGACTAAGTGTAATTGTTTCACTTTAAATAAATTGTATTGTATTTGCATTCACGTCATTACAATCTCTCCCGCTCAAAGACGTTAGATCCAAACACATCACGTGACTGCTATATACGTCATAAGATCAACACCTTCGTATATTTGAAACTTCATGTAATACAATAGTAAATAGCACATTAATCATACAGCCAATGAACGTCAACACACGATCTCAAATGTGTACAAGTCAGATTGCGGGAGTGAATTTCAAGTTCATACTGTCCTGAAGACAGAACATAGCAACAACAGGATAAAAAAACCGATTCTCTATACACATGATATAGAAATTCCACAAAATATACCAACATTTACCATAATTTCATCCTCTTGTTCTTCAAGCAGTCGTTTACTGGCATTCAATTGTTCTTTCTTTTTCTGCACAGACCTCGTGCTGTCATGCATACCCACCTGGTGAAAAATCAAAGATTCTTGCAGGGAAAAATTAAAGACCCATTTTGACACGATAGTACTATAGTCGTATCTGTATACGACTATCATTCTGGCGTATGAAAATAACTGCTAGTTAACGCCACTATTCCTGTTCATCATTTTATGGTGAAAATTGAGATGCGACATCTTTTACATGCATTTATTCGAGTACATACCCTAGGGTAAGAATCGTATCGTGTACATAGGCCTTTAAGGACAAACAAAAAACTATTTAACTTTTTTTATCTTTTTCTCAGCCTACCTCATGTCGTAATGTTCCTATTTCGTCCATCAAGTTGCCAATTGTTCTCTCATAAACTCTCAGTTTATCTCGCGTCCCTTCTTCCTAAATATAACATTCACGCAAATCAATGCCAACAGAATATTTTGAAAAACCATCAAACTATTCTCCAAACGGAGTGTTTTATAAAGTAAATTGTTTCGTACCTCGGAGGTGTCAAGATCATCAACTCTAAGAGAACGTCTTGTACTTGTCAAATTACTCGTGTCAATCTCCAGTCTGTGAGTGTTACCCTAACAAGAAACAGAAATCAGGCCATCACGTCACATCACATCACAAAGACAGTTCGTCGGGACGTTAGTAGCCAGCTTTCTTTTAGGGGTGCACCGGATACAGTATCTGGCAGGATAGTGACCGAAATCGTACTAATATTTACCATTATCCGGCCGGATACGGGATAATTTGTTTCTCACGAAGTGTACTAAATTTCCGTTTATTGAAACATAAAAAATACTAAAAAAAAGAGACACCCAAAAGAGGACATGTTAAAAATGATACTATGACAGCCACTGATATATTTAGTTGAATTAATTAACTCTTCGCAGCGTTTGGCGCCAAAAGCCGTACCAAAGGCGATGGGCCCAAAAACTTTCGAAAGTTTTCGGAAACACGTGAACGGTGGAAAAAGTAAAAACAGATTTTTAGTTAACCATAATTGATTATTTACTCAAAAATTTTTAAAATAGTGTCACCTTAAATTCTTCTGCACTAATACATGAATGAGAAAAATCCTTATAAACATATATTATATGTCAAGTATTCAAGTTGATAAAATATCCGGTATCCGGCCGAATTTTTTCCAGATATCCGACAAATACAGTATCCGGCCGGATAGTAAAAATCACTATCCGGTGCACCGCTACTTTCTTTACTTAGCAACCTAGTTGATGATTTAGGTGAACGCACCTCCCAAGCAATAGTCTTCTTGCTACCGGGAGAAGTTCGTGCAGGCGGTGGAACAAAATGAGGTTTATGTCTTCCTGATTTTAATGCTGTTTGCTTCTATAAAATAATAAATGATATAATTTAGTCTTCATCAGTGTTCATTCATAATTATCGGGGAGAGGGGTTATTGACCAATATGTTAGCGATAATAAATTCACTGTCATATTTTTATAATTTCAAGTACTTACACTGGATTTGCTTGAAGCATTAGCTAATCTTCTGTGACTGTGCCTTATCCTTTCCTAGAAATAAAAATATTGTTGTTTACATTGCTGCTATAGCCAATTCAACCCTTTAGATAACTCACATGCCTACAATCCTAGCTGAAAAATTATGTGCAGCCCTACTTTGATTACTGCAGCCCTCTCTGGGACAACTGTGGAATAGGCCTCAAGGACAGGTTGCAGAAATTTCAAAATCGGGCTGCAAGAGTAATTTCTAGTGCGACTTAGAATGTTCGGTCGGTTGATTTACTTGAAAGCCTGGGTTGGAAACACCTAGAACTAAGGCGAACTTATCAAAAATCTGTTTTTATGTATAAAATTCTGAATAACCACACCGCACCAAATCTAAGAACATCCTTTCGATTGAATAATGAATGTGATAATACCTTATATGATCTTAGAAATAGAGAAACCGATTTGTCTCTTCCTAAACCGAATACCGATTCCGGTAAAAGATGCTTCAAATATAACGGAGCGGTAGTATGGAATAATTTACCGTATGAGGTAAAAGTAGCGGAATCTTTAAGTTCTTTGCAAAGAACTATTAATCAGGCAAACAATTAAAATTGGCTCGTCCTGTTGCCTACTGTATATGTAATTCTTCTTTCTTTGTTTTTGTATTCTTAATGTATATTTCTCCAAATCACGCCCCTCATGGAAATCAGCTCCTAGTTGTTGAGGCCAGCGTGCCTAAATAAATTTTTGTATGTATGTATGTATGTGGACACCTAACTTTTCTAACGCCAATATTAACATTGAGACGTTCTTTCGTGAAATGTGTCGCCCCCTGCCGCTATTCAATGTTGTTTTTCGCATTTAAATTCTAAAAGTATGGTCAGTTGATTTACCAACATTGAATTGGGGGGAGAAATGTTTGGGGGGGGATTAATTCTGTAGAAATACATCTAGTTTTCTTAGCATGACGCACGCGGTGTCTACGATAATTTTTGCCAGGATTGTAGAGTTACTATTATCCCAGTTTACAGAAGCATAAAATACGACAAAGGTATAACTAAGCATTAGAGTTATGTACAAGAGCCATTCACACATGTAGATAATTCTAAACCTTAGTTACCTTTGTTCTGTTCTATGCTTCTGTAAACTGGAACATTGGTAACTAGGCATGCGAGTTATCTGGAGTTTTGAATTGGATTTCAAAAACTCATTAATAATTCATGAGGAAAACACAAAGAAAAATCATAAGCGTGTCGTATATCTTTATACAGGGTGTATAAAAAAACAACGCAACCTCGGAATTTCCCAAGAAATCGACATTATTTTAAGGACAAAAGATTTTAGGTCCCTGGGAATTTAAAATAGCACAACTGTCAAAATTACTGCACACGCGAGTGCATAAAGCAAAATTTATTATACTTAATAAGTTTTTATTTTACAAGTACAGTACAACAACAGTAATATGATCTATTAGCAATTCGATTTCAATTCCCAGAGGCCTAAAATATTTTATGCTTAAAAGAATTGCAAAGTGTATTTCTTAGGAAATTCCGAGGTTGCGTTTTTTTATACACCATGTATGTGATAGAGATTTCTCTTGATTTACATAAACTTTAACTTTGATTTTCTCGACTTACACAACGTATTTTTTTGAAAATTACTTCGCCAATGAACTTACCAGATCGATCGTTTTTGAAGCAACTTAAAGCATTCGCAGTGCGTGTTTTACCAGACCTAAAAACACTCGGCTTCGCTTTGTATCTTTATATCTGATAAAAACACTGCTGCTCATGTTTTAATTTTTATTACCAAAAATCGTAGGTTCGATTCCCACCGTGGTCAGGCATATTTTTCAAGCTTGCCCGGTGTGGAGATACACTCAGAGTAACATCACAAGCAACATAAACAAACGTAAGCCAAGTTTGACTATAGATACAGATATCAGTAGGATGAAAAATTGTTCGTGTACGGCTAGGTGTTACTTTCGAGGACGATGTGTGCTGCTGGGACCTGCACGTTGATGGCTTGTTGTCGAAGGCCGCAAGCCGAATGTATATTTTAAGAGTATGTAGAAGGTATGGATATCGAAAGGAACATCTCGGCTATCTTTTTGACTCAATAATACTATCGTTGTTTTTATACGGTATTGAAATTTGGGGCTCAGCTCTTCAAAAGAAATATTTAGAACGCATTGACAAGTTTTTTAAGCGAGCGTATCGATATGGTTATGTACTGAAAGAGTATAAAATGTCTGAGCTGATTGAAAC